AAGCTCACCGAGGCGCATTCCATCGATTCCACCTTAAAGGAATCCTTCGCGGAAAATTCTTGCATTCTTTCTCAACATGAATGTGTCAGTTGTGATCACTGGAAACAGCACACAAAGTTTCACGCATGAAGATTCGGTTTCCGAAGAGAAACAAACTCACAAAAACTACACTCTATGGACAATCGAAGGTAATGGCGCGATGCCAAAGGCGGGACATGGGCGATTTTGAAGAGTAGCGTATCGATCGATAGGATAGGATGCGGTGGAAGTGGGTAATGCAATAAGTCAAAAGGCCAGAAAGAGTTTCTAGTGACGGCACCAAGAACCAAGTGGAAGCATTCCCGTCGCCAGCATTTGTGACAGATGTCCGGCGGTACTTTGAACGCGTAGCAGCCCTTTCGATTTTTCGAATTTTTTACAAAACAAATGCAATTTTCTTGTTCTTTTCGTTGGCCCAAGCCGGTGAATTATGGGTGAGATAGAATCACGATTTCTCGGAGAAGAATTCCTTCAAGCGGGCGCTCCTGACTCACTAAGTCCCGAAAGTGTGGTAGTGCCTTTGACTACGGAAGTGGAACACGGGTTAAACTCTGTTTTGACTGCCTGAAACCCTTGACGACATCATGTGTGACTACTTTCGCGCTTCTTCACCCATCTTGGAGTTATGATGACAGACGGACGTCAACTTGAGAATATCAATTTCAAAACTTAACCTTTTGAAGGCTGCAAGTTTCGTTCTTAACTGTGAACCACCTCCGTATTCGCATTCGAGCTGGACTGTCAGGATCTCCACGATAGAACGCGAAATACATAACATTTGTATCTGCAACATTAACCCTAGAAAGCCTTATATGTCTAGAATGCTGCGAAACAGTGGAACCATTGAAATAATTTATTTATAGCCTTATATACTCATAAGAGTGCACCAACGTCCCATGCAGAAAAAAAAACAAATAATATCGAAATTCGTAGCACATTTAAGGCAGCGATTACGATAAGGAGGAAGCGCATCGGGGAGGCATATGCACCACACGAAGTACTTAATTGGCTGCCAAGGAGGCGAGATGTGGCGCCTCAGATTCTGACGCTTCTTTAGCTGAGAATTCAGATATTCGTGGTGTATCAAGCCAAATTTGAAAATTTTCGTCGCACCATCAAAATTCGCCGCAGATCTGTGTTGTGCGCGCAATGCGTGCGGCGCCAACTGGTAAATCATACCGAACTTCTTGGCACTGATGTTAAGGTGGCCTCGTTTCTTGGAGTATGGACCACAAGCATGAAATCGCGCCGAAACTCCTGTCACGTAGTGCAGCTCCTCCCAAATACTCTTATTTCTGCTCTCGTTTGTGCGCTCTTGTCTGTCTCAGGAAAAAAAAACTGAGCGGTCGAACGTAGCAAATGTGGCAAATTTTGGCACCGTTGAATCAGGTGCATATAGTGGCTCCTTTTCGGCGGACTGGAACTGAAGCACGGCTCTCTGGACAGTGCGTAGTAAAACGGGCAGGCTGTACTCCAGTCAACTTCACTTTGTCCTTCACTTCACGAACCCTTCACTTCACAATTTGGGATAGCATTGCGCCATCCCAAAGGTCAACCTGCCCGCGTGGGCTGCTGGTGTTGGATGGAGCTTGCAGTTAGGAGAACGACTAGGCGTCTGTGAAGTTGGGCTGAAAGCACTACTCCTATAAATGATGAGTAGAGCTTCTAAACACGAATGATTTTGCCAGTCAGGTTGTCAGCTGTACGCTGCGGCGTCTTACTGTATGCAGGTAGATGACACTTAGAAACACTCACCCGAAGTAGATGCCAATCTTGAGAGGGCGACATCCCCAGGTTCACCCATCGTGGCACTCTGGATTGGCGAGCATAAACACTAAGCGGAGAACCACGTATGAATATCAGATATCAACGATTTTGGGCCATGGTAGCTTCGTGAATGACTACCCTCCCCCCCATCATTCGTTAAAATTCCATGTGGATGGATCCAATGAAAACTAAGCAGAGTTTGATTGGTCCATTGTGAAAGTGGAAAAAGCCTGCTGCCGTGGAATCGGCAGCACGCTTAACCCTGGGCTGAAGCTTCGAAAACTTAATAGACTGGCTGAAATTCCTGTTTCTCAAAAGAAATCTCCATTATTCTACAGCTTTCTAAAGGGGCTCACTAGCAAGGCGGCTATGGGACAGGCGGCTCTTGTTGGATTTATAGGGGGATTTGGGAGCACTTGAGAGACCATTGCGTGGTTGAATTGAATGGAGTCAAATGTTAATCGAAAAAAGTTACCTTGCGAATAATCTTCGTTTGTGGAATTCCCAGTTGTCAATACAATGACAACCACCCCAGCAATGACTATTCCAAGCCCGAGCAGAGGAATAAATATGGCAATTGCTTTTGCCATTTTCCCTGAAAGCACAAGTATCAGTCAAAATGACCACCGCGATGTTCTGATTGTCCCGTATGCGTACGAGTGCACGAGTTCAGCTCATACAGAGACGAGACACTTCGTCACCCCTGTGTCACGCCCAACTGATGACCAACTGAAAACGCCAACTAACCTCGGTTCCCAAACCCGAAAAATACCTGTTGACTTCCGCATTTG